TTTTCCTTCTTTCTTGTCTTCTTAATGACTTTTTGCTCTCTTCACGTATGATGTTCTTGATGTCATCCCACAACTCTTCTGGTCTTTGGTCTTTAATGTTTAATGTATCAAATTTGTTCCTAAAATGATCTCTGAATTCAGGTGGGATATATTCAAGGTCATATTTTGGTTCTCATGAACTTGTTTTAATTTTCTTCAGCTTCAGTTTGAATTTGCATAAGAATAGTTGATGGTCTGTTTTGTTTCATTGATGATATGGAGCTTTTCCATTTTCTCTTTCCACAGATGTAGTAAATTTGATTTCTATGCGTTCCAATCTGGCGAGGTCTATGTGTATAGCCATCTGTTATGCTGTCCAAAGAAGGTATTTGAAATATACAAATCATTGGTTTTGCAGTTCTATCATGTATTCTCCAGCATCATTTTTATCACCAAGGCCATATTTTCCAACTACTGGTCCTTCCTTTTTGCTCCCAACCTTTGCATTCCAATCACCAGTAATGAGGAATACATCTTGATTGCATGTTTGATCAATTTCAGATTGAAGAAGTTGGTAGAATTCTTCTATTTCATCCTCACTGGCTTTAGGGGTTGGTGCATAAATTTGAATAATAGTGGTATTAACCAGGCTTCTCTTTAGGCACATGGATATTATCCTATCACTTACAGCATTGTACCTCATGACTGATCTGCATATGTTCTTTTTGATGATGAATGCAACACCATTCCTTTTCAATTTTTCATTCCCTGCATAGTAAGCCATGTGGTTGTCAGATTCAAATTGGCCAATACCAGTCCATTTCAGCTCACTAATGTCTAAGATATCGATGTTGATGAGTTCCATTTCATTTTGACAACTTCCAATTTTCCCAGATTCATAGTTCGTACATTCCATGTTCCGATATTCTAGGAGGGGAGGTCTCTGGGACCATCAAGGGAGAAGAATGGAGAATGGGACCCTGCCCAGAGAGGCAGTGACACCAGAGATGGAGGCAGAGATGATGAAGTGGACAAGATGGAGCTGCTGGGGACTTTAGACCCAGAGAGGGAGAGGGGCTGTGTACTGATGATTGGAGGGCAGGCTTACAGGGTATATGGTTGGTTGATGATGCATGGAGGGGATTGTAACCATGGCAATGAAACGATATACGATAGGATGGATTTAAAACTAATGTTCTCCCATGTAAACTATCACAGAATTCACAATAAAACATTTAAAATAAATAAATAAAGATTAGTAAAGTAATTACCAAAATTTATGTTCCTGAAACTAAGGTCAATTTTAATTAATTAAGAATGGGAGACAACAACTTAGAAGATAATGAAATCTTTCTTAGAAAAGATATGGTGGTGTGGTGGTGGTTATGTGCCATGGAGTCAGTTCTGACTCATAGCCACCCTGTATAGGGTTTCCAAGGCTGTAATCTTTACAGGAGCAGAAAGCCTCATCTTTCTCCCACAGAATGACTTGTAGTTTTGAACTGCTGACCATGAGATTAGCAGCTCAACTTGTAATTGAAAAACCAGGAAAGTATTTGTCTTTTATATCACACAAAAGAAGATAATGTCTTAGGCTATTATGAACTCATAAATATCAGTGATAAAAAGACCAACAAACTCATTTTTTAAAATGGGCAACTATTGAGAAAGAAAATTGTAATATTTAA